TATAGCAAAAACCTCTCTAAAAAAAAGAGAAAAAAAAATAACCATAGCAAGAGAACTTCAGACAATTGCAGACAGCTTCATGTTGTGGGATATAAGTGCCAGGGGTTGAGTCTCAGGGGCTTCCAGCCTCAGCTGAAAATAAGTGGAGCTGACCGCCGGAACTGTAAACCCTAAGGTTCCTGGCTCTGGTTCCTTCATAAAGATGTCTCCGTTGAGGGTTTCAATGAAGTTTCCTGCCAACAAATCTTGGTCAAATCCCTGGACTGACCTTACAGGTTCCTTAATTTCAAATCCCTGCTAGAGGCTTGGGAGATTCTTAAGGGAGTTGCTCTCTGCCTGCCAACCCAGTGCCCTCTGCCAAGGGAAGAAGCAGGCTCTGGAAACCAACAAAAGGTCCTCTCTTGCCCTATTACCAAGGGCAAGAACTGAATGCACACCTGTGTTTATGTGACAGAGGAAGACATTGCACTTACTTTACTTTAACATTTAACGTCAAATCTAAAGGCACTTGCTGCTTTTATTTGCTTATTATTTTATTCATTTTAATTTGCCATAGGGTGGGTGTGCTTGCCTGAGAAAGGAGAGTGTGAGTGCTTAGAGAAAGCACCCTCCATGGGAAATGGCCACACTGAAATCCTTTCTCCTTTCTCTTGGGATTTGTGGCATGCATTCAAACACAACTAGTGTCTTTTCAAGCACAGGGTCCAGGACTGAACTGCACATTTGGCTGAGTGGGATCCAGCCACCTTAACCACCATACCATCAGCTGGCCCCACTTGTTACTCCCTTATATCAAGACAGAGGAGTCTGGGGGAAATCTCAGGTCGTCAGCAGCTCCTTACACATGGTACAGTCTCCAAGACCTATTAAGTGTGGCTCATGGAGAAGTAAATACATACTAGTATTTTAGGTTTATGAATCTCTGGAATATTACATACTATCTCATTGTCTTTACCACAGTCCTATAGAGTAGAAAGGTCTTTGTCCAAAGACTTTCAGATTATAAGTGGCACAGTTCTGTTTTCATATTCAAGATCTATAAATGTAGAGAGTTTCCAGGTAAAGACAGTATGAAATGAGACAAATCATTGAATAGCCTCCCCATCAAATCCTTTAAAACAAATAAAAGCAGTAAATAAACAGCTGACATCGGAAGGTCTTAGAGTGATGCCATCCATTGCCAGGCACTAGACAAGGAGAAGAACAGGATATTGTTGTGTGACTCAGTATAGAGCATCTCATGGCATCACCAACCCCAGGTGAACAATCGAAAGAGAGGACTTGATACCACATATTCAATAATTGTCTGTCATTTGATTCAAAATGAACAAATCTAGATTTAATACTAAGTGAAATAAACCAGGCTATGAAAGATGAATACTGTATGTCCCTACTCAATATGTACAGAATGTCTGCACTCTGGCAGAAATTGAGAGATTTGAAAACATGAAAGTAGAATAGAGCTGTAGATACCAGACACTGTATGGAAGGGAGGCGGACGGTTAGGGATGGGTCAGAGGGCCTCAGGAAAGAAGCATTTAACAGACACAAGAATCAGAGGTTCATTTCTGAAAATCAAATATTTGGTAATAATCTTAATTTGGTTACCACGTATTGCACACATACTTGGGAAAACCATATCATACATCATAAAAAAGTAATATGACAGTTAAATATAAATAAGAAATTGTAAAGTAAAATATTAAAATAGAAAATAAAATATCAAGAAAAGAAACAAAAAAGAAGAGGGTATTTGTTGATGTTGTTGGTTGTGATAATGGTATTGTGATTTGTTTCAAGAAAGATTTTTGCTGTAGGGCATGTGTGCTCACTGGAGAGATAGAGAGAAAGAGACAGAAAGTGAGACATCACTCCCAAGGGGGGATGACCATGCCACAATCTCTTCTCCTCCATTCTCCTTTTGGAATTTTAGGCATGCACACAAACACACTGATGTGAATTTAACATCACCTAGTCCAGGACTTGAACCATAGTCAACTACGTGGGAGTCCAGTGACTTAACCATTACTCTATCTGCTGGTTCCATGATTATATTTTAAAGGTTCTTTTTAAGAGATAAATATTAAAATATTCAGGGATAAAAGTAAAAAAAAATAATGCCTTTTAAGTCATAGAAAAGTGGATAAATTGAGTAAGTAAATACTTAAGGAAAAGAGAAAAAAATCTCATGCATAAAGCAACAGAGCTACTTCAGGTTTTGGAGGAGGCAGAAAGGGATGTCAGATTTTCTCTTTCCCACACATAAGTAATCTGCCCATGCTAATTATGAAAAAAAAATCTGTATAACCATATAAATATGCTATAGCAAATGATTAATTATAAAGGGAATATAAAATACAGAAACTTAGTATGAAAAGATAACAGAAACAACCACACTTAGAAGAAAAATGTGACCAAATGAATAAAAACAGATTTCCTGAGAATGTGTTGAGCTATAAAAGAATTTAAATAAGATGAGAACCAGAATGAGATGAAAGAAGGGTATGTTGGGATGAAAAAAAAACAAATTAAGACTCAAATACCTTGGGTAAAGTAAGTAGTTTAGCCAAGGGGTAGAATAGACAAGGCCTGTATCCATCCAAGTCTGTGTAACTGAGATCAAGCCATTTTTGTATTGGTCTGCAGGGAATGCTAAGTACACGCAGAACTGATTACAACAGTGGTGGAAGTACAAAAGAGCCAGTCAGGAGAGAGTGGGACATCTCAGGAACAAGCTAGAATAGGTCCTACCATCTCTAGGCCGAGGGCACCTAGGGAGAAGGTGATATTACCAGATACAGAGTCACCTAGCAGAAGCTGGGTAGATGGTATTCTCAGCTTACCTGCTCCCCTTCCTTAATGAAAGTGCGCTTCATTGAGTGCACGTGGACAGTACCAGCCAGGGGCAGTGCAGTGGGCTATGAGACACCCTTGAAGCAGTAATCCGTACAGTACAGAGCAGCACGTGACCCACTTTAGCTCCAGTGAGTGTGCCTCCCATTAATACTACGAAGAGTTCAGTTAAGTATCAGACCTTCTTTAAGCATCCTTGAGGAAACCTTAATCTTGACCTTTCATGTCAGGAATCAACCAGTAGTATTCCAGTTAAAGTGTTGTTTTAAGGAGTCTCATCTCTTACTGGAATTTGTAATCTTTCTTCTTAGCCATAGTGGTCTGTTCATGTTAAGCATTTATTTTCTTGTGAAGAAATGTCTTGTTTCTGCACTTCTTTGGTTTTATTTTCTTGTTCACCCATTAATTCAAGGCAAACTCAAGGTAAATTTGTATATAATCCCTTCCACACTTTCTGTTTAACTATCTATATATGTGGGAGGGGGAGTCTTCAAAAAGTTTATGGAAAATGCCTATGCGAATAAGCTATATATATGAAAATTGTTTTGCACTAAAATAAGCTCATACTTAAATAACATTTTTTAATGAACTTTTGAAGTTCCTTCTTACATAGCTAGCTAGCTGTTTGGTTGTTGTTACTGTTTTAGACAGGATCTCACTACGTTATGACCCTCATGCCTCAGCCTCACCAGAGGAGACAAAGAGAGGGAGAGAAGGAAAGTGGAAAAGCACTCCCCAGAAGGGTTGGCCACATCACAGTCCCTTCTCCTCCATTCTCACTTGGGGTTTTAACCACATAAACACATGTGTCTGGTACATTTTCCAAACCATTGGATCTGGGACTTGAACTGGTCTGTTGGCCATGTGGAATCCAGCTGCCTTAACCACCATGCCACTATCTGGCCTCACATGAGCATTTTTTTTTTTTGAAAGAGATTTTTGCTACAGGGCGCGTGCGCTTGCCAGGGAGACAGAGAGAGAAACAGAGAGACAGAAAGCGAGATATCACCTCCCCAGGGAGGATGGCCACGCCACAATCCCTTCTCTTCCATTCTCCTCTCGGGATCTTGGGGACGCATGCACATGGCATGAGTATAAGCCACCAGGTCCAGGACTCAAACTGCGGTCAACTACATGGGAGTTCAGCAACAAAGCCATTACACTAACTGCTGGTCCCTACATGAGAATTTTTTTTTAAAGTGTACATTTATATAAATCTTCAAGTGTAGTATTAAACAATTTACCTGATGTGTTATTAGACCAGAACTAACTTATCAAGAATACAATCTGCAGGACCAGCAGATGGCATAATGGTTACATGGTTGGACTCCCACGTAGTCAACCACGGTTCACGTTCTGGACCTAGTGACTTAAAACTCATGCTGGGCGCGTCTGTACACATGCCCAAGATCCTGAGAGGAGAATGGAGGAGAAGAGCTCGAGGCATGACCATTCCCCCTGGGGAAGGGGATGAAAATGAAATATTTGGTAATAAATTTGCAGGATGATTTCTCACTTTCTGTCTCTCTCCAGTGAGCACACATGCCCCATAGCAAAAATCTCTCTTGGAAAAAAAAAAAAAGAATACAATCTGATGCTTTTACAGACTTCCTTTGCAGAAAATTCGATCCTAGAAATTCATAAGTAGGACTGTTTTCTCTAGGCATAATAAACTAATTTTCCAACTTAATTTATTTTTATGTTTGATTATTTTAAAAGACACAAAATTTAAGCCAGAATAGTCAACACTTAGTTGACTAAATGGGCAGAATTCTTGTGAGTGATCGTTTGGAGAATGTGCATATTTTAACGTAGGCAGATAAGGCCACTACTTCCCTCTACATCCATTCATCAAATCGATGGCAATGCAGATCCTCAGGAGCTCCATTATTTTGTATATCACTAAGAAAGAGCAAACACTGATCATTAAATGGTGATATGCCCTCCATTATAAAAAGGAACAAAATCTGCTTTAGAGTTAATAAATGTTTTGCACACTAAAATCTTAAATGTTATTGGCCAAAATGAGAAGATGAACAGGAATCATGTAATCTGTCTCCCCACACACAGAAATATCTGTACAAGAAACTCACTTCAGTAGCTCACCAACTGACTATGGCTTCTTTGTCTGTTGTCTCTCTCCCCAGGTGTGGGGAAGATCTCATGCAGGATCAGCAGCAGCTCCTGGAAGGGATCTCGGAGCTGGACATCAGGACAGGGGGCATCCCCTCGCAGCTGCTGGTGCATGGGGCCCTGGCCTTCCCAGTGGGGCTCGATACCTCCCTCCGCTGTTTCCTGGCAGCAGCCCGCTATGGCCGAGGCCGCGTAGTGCTGGCTGCCCACGAGGGCATGCTCTGTGCTCCCAAGATGGCACCCTTTATGCTCAATGCTGTGCGCTGGCTGGCCAGAAGCCGTTCAGGCCAAATTGGAGTGAATACAAGTCTGAAAAACCTGTGTTCCTTACTGTCAGAACATGGCCTGGAATGCAGCCTGGAGTCCCAGCTGCGCGACGGCCTGCACGTCTACTGCTGTGGGGCTTACAGTGACCGGCAGGCCAAGGAGCTACAGGAGTTTGTGGCTGAGGGTGGGGGGTTGCTGATTGGGGGCCAGGCCTGGTGGTGGGCTTCCCAGAACCCAGGCAGCTCTGCTTTGGCTGGTTTCCCTGGTAATGTCATCCTCAACTGCCTGGGCCTCAGCATCCTGGCTCGGACTCTGGACCCAGGCTGTTTCCCTGTCCCTTCACCTCAGATGAGAAAGTACCACCTTCGCAAGGCACTGTCGGAATTCCAGGCTGCGTTGAACCAGGAGGGCAGGACCTTGGAGAAGAACTATCTGGCCAAGTTGGGCGCAGATGGAGCAGCCTTCCTGCAGATTCCTGCAGAGGGCGTCCCTGCTTACATGTCCTTGCACCGACTCTTGAGGAAGATGCTGCGACAGTCAGGCCTCCCCGCTGTGAGCCGGGAACACCCAGTGGCCAGTGACTCCTGCGAGGCTGCTGTGCTCTGCCTGGCCACAGAGCTGGCACGCTCTGGAACTGACTGCTCCCAGTTGGCCCAGGGGCTTGGCAGTGGGACCTGCCCCTCCAGTCTGTACCCCTCGCAGCACCCTATCACGGTGGAGATTAATGGAACCAACCCAGGTAAGGAATGAGCAGGCAGTGCCCAAAGCACAGTAGCCCAGAAAGTGGGGCTGACTGACTGCAGGTGTTGCAGTTCTGACCCGCAGGTCTCCAGCTCTGTGCCTGAGCAGGTACTTCCAAGAATATGGGAACTGGGGTTCTGCTTAAGAAGTGACGTGTGCAAGAACCATAGGTGGTGGGGTTACGCAGGGAGCATCTGTACTCTGTGGGTGTGCGATGAGGCTGCAAGCGGAACTGAGTTCATGTAGGAGGGAGGAGCTCAGCCTATTCTGTGGTTTTTGCCAGGCAGTGAGGATTCCTGGGTGAGCACTGGGCTCTACCTCCTGGAAGGACAAAAGGCAGAAATCTCACTGTCTGAAGCTGCTGCCTCTGCTGGACTGAAGGTGAGACCAGAACCCCCCATAGCCAGCTCCACTCAGAATCCTAGGCTGCTTCCTTCTCACCCACTGCCTAGTTCCAGCTCAGAGCAGTGCTACCCGGAGCACAGGGAGGGAGTGTGCTGCCCATCTGATGGACTTTACAGATGAAGCAGCTGCATTTTAGGGAGCCTGAGTGAGTGACCTACTGTCTAATATCAGACCCAGTACTCAAACCAAAGCCTTCTAATCCACATGTGAGGGTTTCTACTCACCGACAGGGGTGCGGAGAGATAGCCCATGTGAAGAGAAGGAGCACCTGTTACATCCTCAGTACCTCACCCCTTTCCCAAAGCACCAGTGCTCCTGAGATCACCTCTTCACTTTGACCCCTCAGGGATATGCTTGGAGCCAGCACTCATGACAATATGAGGGGACTTCTAAACCTTCAAGAAAAACTGGATTTAGAGTATGAAGTTATTTTGATTGAAAAAATAATTGATATCCTTGCCTAGTTTTTTCATTCATATTTTTATGAACTTTTTTCTTTTTTTTGAGAGATTTTTCCTACAGGGTGAGTGCACTCACCAGAAAGATAAAGACAGAGAGATAGAAAGCAAGAAATCACCCCCCAGGGGGGATGGCCATGCTGCAATCCTTTCTCCTCCAGTCTCCTCTTGGGATCCTGGACACACACGCACACGTGCCCAGTGGGAGTTTAAACCACCAGGTCCGGGACTTGAACCGCGGTCGACTACATGGGAATTCAGCGACATAGCCATTACACTAACTGCTGGTCCCTGTTATGAACTTTTGAAAGCACTTTGTAAGCATTACATGCAAAATGTAGGTTCATCCCACCCCACCTCTGAAGGTTGCTGTTGACCACAGTTAAGGTCTCTTCCATGTTGAGGTCCTTTTTGGAGCTTGCTTACATGAAGCCTAAGAAAAGCAACCCCAGTACCTCAGATAAAACAGTTGACCAGAGTGGAAGTTCTGAAACAAAGGGAACAAAGATCAATCTTCTCCCTGGCAGGCCAGACTTCGCTATCCATGGGGACTCTAGTTACTGACGCATGGTGCACCTCCTGTCCAGGTGCAGATTGGCTGCCACACAGACGACCTGACCAGTGCCAGGAAGCTGTCTCGAGCCCCTGTGGTGACACATCAATGCTGTATGGACCAGACCAGACGGTCAGTCTCTTGCCTCTGGGGCGGCCTCCTCTATATCATCGTGCCCAAGGGCAGCCGACTGGGCTCTGTATCTGTCACCATCGAGAGGGCTGTGCCTGCCCCATACTACCAACTGGGTGAGTGGACTGAAAGTCCAGGGAAGCGGAAGGGCTATGGTAGCCATGGTGACTAAGGGCTGGCTGCTAAATGAGAGGGCAACAGGGGCTGGTGAAGAGGAAGGGCCATAGTGCACGTGGAAGCAGGAGGTACAGAGCATCCTGAGTCCATAGAGACTTCAGGGTGGGTCAAGAGAAGGGTCTGGAAGCCTTTACTTAGCCTGTAGACCTGTATGACAGTGGTTCATTTCCATGTTCTCCTGGAGTTCAAGTTGTACTTTTCAGCTCAGGGAAAGCTGGGGAAGTGGTAGCATCTTCCATCATACTTGTTTTCAGGTAAGACATCCCTGGAGGAGTGGAGGCACTGTATCCAGGAGAACCTGTCTTCCTGGGGAGAGCTGGCCACGGACAACATCATCCTGACAGTGCCAGCTGTAGACCTCCAGGCCCTGGTGGACCCCCGGCCGTTGCTCCACCTCTGGGATGAGATGATGCAGGCAATAGCCAGGCTGGCAGCGCAGCCCTTCCCTTTCCGCCGGCCGGAGAGGATCGTTGCCGACGTGCAGATCTCAGCTGGTGAGTGCTCCAAGGAAACCTCCCAAGTCAGTGGACTAGAAGGGCTATTGTTTTGCCTTAAAAATGTCCAAGGTTTGTAAACTATAAAATTTTTTTAGAGAGAAATGTTTACTATAGGGTGTGTGCACTTGCTAGAGATACAGAGAGAGAGAGAGAAAGTAAGAAATCACCCCTCGGTGGAGATGGCCATGCCACAATCCCTTCTCCTCCTGGGATTTGGGCATACATACACACACGCCAGTGTGAGTTTCAAGCCACCAGGTCCAGGACTTGAATCATGGCTGGCCATGTGGGAGTCCAGCACCTTAACCACTACACCATCCACTGGTCCCTGTAAGGCATAATTTTATTAATAAAATAAAAGTAAAGAACAGAGAAAAAGGCACAAAGACCTGACTCATAATGAGAATGAAAGATATTTGCATATGCAAAGGTAAAAAACATCACATCTATAAGGTGAGATTTCACAGTTGGTAGAACCGTCGGGAAAATTCGTGTCAGGAATTCACAGATGGCTATGAGATTGTCTCAAGGAGAGCATACAAAATGAACTTGTTCTTAAAACATAAGTCACAGTAGAAAATGAAAAAGAGGAAATGAGGAAAGAGGTTTATGTCAAATACTGAGTGGTTTAGAGGAGAGAGCCACATAGGAGGCCAATAGGGAACTCCAGTTCCTACACAGGAAACAATTCCTTTGGCCCTCGATCTTCTTACCTTTGAAGGACAGGACTAGCAGAGGCATGGTGGCTAAGGCACTGGGTCCCACATGGCTGACTGTGCATTTCAAGTTCTGGACCTGACGGCCTGAAAATCATGCTGGGCATGTGTGTATGTGCCCAACATCCCTAGAGGAAAATGGAGGAGAAGGGATTGCGGCGTGATCATCCTCCCTGGGGAATGCTTTCTCACTGTTTCTCTCTCTCTGGCAAGCGCACATTCCCCACAGTTAATATTAAAAACAACAACAAAGAAAAAAGAAAAAGGACAAAATTATCTCCATCAAATATGGACATTTTACATCGGAGGGAGAAAAATGACACCATTCTAACTCAAGAATGTGATATCTAGTCACGGGACATTGGAGACTTACATGCAAAAGAAGCTCATGTTGAGAATATCGAGCCTCCCACTATAGCCAGTGTAACCACGGGAAGTGTGTCTGTGCTCCCAGGGCTCGAGGATGAGGAGGGCATCTCAGGTGTGAGAGGCTGGAAGGAGATGAGGTGCCATCCAATTTCCAACCAGGCAGAGGAACCGTCAATGGGCTAGTCAGTGTAGAGAGTCTGGAATATCAGGGACAGCCAGGAGGGTGAGGGAAGTTCAATGATGGAGAAGAACGGAGTGAACTGGGTGTACACCCTCTCATGTCCCGTGTCTTCCTCTGCGTTCCCAGGCTGGATGCACTCAGGATACCCCATCATGTGCCACCTGGAGTCGGTGCAGGAGCTCATCAATGAGACGAGCATGAGAAGCAAAGGCCTGTGGGGGCCCATCCACGAGCTGGGCCACAACCAGCAGCGGTCTGGGTGGGAGTTCCCCCCACATACCACCGAGGCCACCTGCAACCTGTGGTCAGTCTACGTGCATGAGACAGTGCTGGGGATCCCTAGGGCTTGCGCCCACCCAGCTCTGAGCCCTCCAGAACGAGAGAAGAGAATCCAGGCATACCTGGCAAAGGGAGCCCCACTCAGTGACTGGAATGTGTGGACGGCCCTGGAAACGTATCTACAGGTACTGAACAGAAATGGGGGCACATAAGGGCCCAGAGCCCTTAACCAGGTAGATTCCTGGGACCCAGGGGCTCTCTAATCCCTTCAGCACCCACCAGCCAGGACCGATCACCTTCCCTGGACACAGGGAACTGTTCTGAACGTGCATGTCACAGTTACTTTAACGAACTTGGCACTTCATCCTGTCCCTTTTTTTTTTTCTTTCCAGCTCCAGGAGGCCTTTGGTTGGGAGCCATTCACCCAGCTTTTTGCTGAGTACCAGACCCTCTCTGGCCTACCCAAAGACAATGCTAGCAAGATGAATCTATGGGTGAAAAAGTTCTCTGAAAAAGTACAGAAGAATCTGGTTCCTTTTTTTGTGGCCTGGGGCTGGCCAGTCCAGAAAGAAGTGGCTGACAGCCTGGCCTGCCTGCCAGAGTGGCAGGAAAACCCCATGAGAATGTACGTCTGTACCAGAGAGTAAAGGGTATGCAGGAAGTGGGCAAATAAGGAGACGAACACACTGCCAACTCCATCAATGTGATTTCGACTGGCGTGCTAGTGCCTTGAGCCCGAATCCTGCTTCCCAGCCTGCCTTGAGACATCAGTCAAGGTCATAAGACAAAATGGAGCCAATTTTCTCAGGAACGTGCCCGTGCGCTTCTTTGTATTGTTTCTCTGCTTATACTGTTGCTCTCACCAAGAGACTGGCTCACAGTCCTGGTTCTCCAGCAGAGGGTTCCATCTTGTCTATCCACGGCTCTAATTTGTAAACCCATGGAAGACCATGGGCTACCATGATAACCTGATATGCTGTCTGCCTCTGAACCGGCCTTCTGATTCTTGTGCTTTATTAAGTTGTATAATAGTGAGAGTGACAGGCAGGCTGGTATAATAGAGAGAGCCCTGGGTGTCTTTGATTCTATGGGAAAAAATCACTTAACCTCTCTGTGTTTCTGTGTTCTTACCCTGACATTGGAATGGAAGTCCCTTCCTCACAGTACTAATGTTTGTGCACTATAACATGCGTATGGATGTAAGTGACTTGTTAGCTTGCACCTGGCCCCATAGTCACTTCAGTGTTAACCCACTTGTTAGGGTTACAGCATTCGGTTCTTTGTGCAAGGGTATTAGAGAACACCAAGGTTATTCCTAGACGTGGTATTACACAGCTAGTTGGTTTCAGTATCCTAGCCATCCTACATTTTTTTTCTCCCACTTCCAGAAGGATCCTCAGGTATAAACTTATCCAAATGGTGTCCACTCAAATAAGATATTGGGGTTTGATCTTTTTGATCAGTTCCACCTTCTAGTAATGTTTCACCCAAAGGTAAAAGTCATTTTAGAACCCCTACCAAATCTATAAGCCTATTTGTTCTTAGCACAAGACAGGCATCTGACTCCTCTAGTCACCCTGGAACCAAGGCGCTGCTAACTGTGAGAGACCCGCAGACAGGGTAGGTTCACTCTGGAATGGGCTTCCTGGGTGCCACCGATTGAATCCTCATTTAACCCACAACCCAGCTTCCCTTGAACTTTGTTGTGATCTCATTCTAACCCACGCAGACTCTTTAGGTAGGTGGAGTTCTAAGTGGAGATTAGTCTTCAGGATTAATGGGGTGTATGCCTAGCCAGTTTTCTCAAGCTTACTTTTATGAACCTTGTTTGTCTTTGTTTAGGATATTCCACAAGCTTTGTTGAGAGTAAAGTGACTCTTCATAAGGATAACTAACTTAGGGAATACCTATTTCTGAATCCCATTAGCACATTTTTTTCATTCCAATATAATTTCCTTTTATTTCACTAGTGTCCTTTGCTGAGTGCTTTGCACATGAAAGGTGCTCAAGAATATTTTGCTAAATTGAAAGAGACACCCAACACATCATGTCAATACATCCCAAACATTGTGTGCAATATTTTCTATGATTTATCTTGTGAAATCTTCTCAGAAGACCTCTAGATAGGTACTATTAATATCCTCATTCCACAGAGGAGAAAACTGACACCTAGAGCTATTAAATAACTTTTTGGGGGGGAAGGAGAGTTTGTATTTTTGTGTTTTTGTGTTTTGTTTTTTGTTTTTTTTTTGCTATAGGGTGCGTGCACTCTCTAGACAGAGAGAGACAGAAAGTCAGAAAGCGAGAAATCACCCCCCGGGGGGATGGCCATGCCACAATCCCTTCTCCTCCATTCTCCTCTTGGGATCTTGGGCACACACGGACACATGCCCAGCGTGAGTTTAAGCCACCGGATCCGGGACTCGAACCGCGGTCGACTACGTAGGAGTCCAGCGACATAGCCATTATGCTAACTGCTGGTCCCAATAACTTTTCTGAAGTATCAAAATTATAAGAGGGTGAGTCAGAAGTTGACTAAAGCCCACCACAATAAAAAAGTGGAGCTTATTCTTCATGACTGATGTGCAATTTATACTGCACTTCACCTGGAAAATAGATGAAAGGAAATTCAACAAAGCTCTTGTATTTTTCATGCTCATTTCTAAATTTTGATTAAATATCTAATTTAACCTCCAAAAAGTTAGTGGTATCTGATTTTCTATTTGCCTCACCATGGGATTGGTCCACCTTTGGGTTTATCCAGCCCTGGGTAGAGAAGGAATTTGAACCCAGGCTGTTCAGCTCCAGAAATGGTGCTCTTCACCCATCATGTTAAGGGGGGTAAATGGATAATGCTGGGTTAATTGGGCTGTCCTAGAGACAAAGACTGAACCTGACTCTCCCCACCCCCCCCATTCTTTCTCTAGTGCAAGTCAGAGCCCTTCTCCTGGAAAGTGGTTCCTTCTCTTTCTTGTAGAGAGACTGTTTTTGTCTCTGTTTTTTAAGTTCCTAGTTGTTTGTGAGTGCAACATTATCCGATGATTCTTGAATGCACAAAAACTTTTGGTAATTTGCTGCCAGTGATAGAGCTAATCCATGATCTTTGCGACATTTAATTTACTTCTATACTTTTATATTTCTAGGTCTTGGGATATATTAGGAGAAATGTATTCATGAACAATAGGATAGACACTGAATCTAGCTTGTCTAATTTTAGAACTAGTGTTTTTGTTTTCCCACGGAAAACGCTATATTTTTGCCCAGTAACTAGTTGTACAGGATATTGGTTTGGTTTGGTTTTCCCTCTCATCAGCCACTTTTCTTGGCAAAAGCCCCATCAGCTTTCCTTTGGTATCACCGTCAACACAGAGTCGACTTGGTTTGGAAGAGGTAGACCCACGCTGGTAGCAGAAGGGGGCACAGAACCCAGGCTCATCTGAATATCTACATCTTCTGGCCTGGGTTGGTCCTAATGATGGCCTGTGCCAGGCTAAGGAAGTCCATGCCACAGACTTTACTGGATAAACAGGAAGCACATTTCCCTTGGCATTGGCATTGTAATGAGATTGCCAAATGTTAACTATTTAGGGGCACATGAAGGACTGTCCCTCAACTTTTGCACATGTTTGAAAATTGTATTGGGTTGTTGGAAAAGTCATGATGCATTTTTCATAAGAAAATATAGAAAAAACACATCATAACTTTTCTGACAACCCAATATAATACGGAAAGTTATAATGGTGTAAGGATATTATTGATGGCCGTAGAAGAAATTTAAAGAGAAGTTTTGAAATAGTCTTTTATGGAGAATGGCGCCTGAAGAGTGGAGAAGTGGAGAGGTGAAGAATGAGCGTTTAGGCAGACTACTGTTGTTTTTCTTATAAGCTCTTCATTAGTATTTTCGTATTTTATTTCTAGCATACATTTTTTTACCATATATTACCATGATACTTTTTAAATAAGACTAGTTTCAACTACATTCAGATTTTCTGCTCAGCTTACACATTACCTTGGTCTGCCATGACCAGGTCCTTGAGTATTTCCCCAGATTCGTCTCTTGCCTCTTTCTTTGCTTTCTTTATTCTCACCATGGTGCCCGTGTTTCAGCTGTGCTCCTGTGTCTCTCTTTCTCATCTATACAGACTGTCCTGTGCTCTGGTCATTCCTCTCCTCTCCCTGTTGTTCCCTTCACTTCACAATAGGGTGAAGTGTCTGGTGCCTAAGTTTCTTCTCTGGTAGAACAGCAACAAAATCAACCAAACACATATTATTTTAGAATTTTATTTTTCAGTGTGAGGAATTAGGATATATACTATATATCATAAATTAGAGGACATTAGAACATCTTTTTTTCTTTAATTTGTCAGAGGATGTAGTCACTAGAGGGAAACAGAGAGAGGAAGAAGGAAGAGGAGAAAGCATTCCAGAATGAGACATGATAATGTCACTCCATTTCTCTACCTTGTTGGAACCTGGGAAATGCAAACACATGTCACGCATGCTTTTCAAGCCACCAGGGCCAGGATTCAAACCACAGAGTCTGCCTTGTGGGATCCAGCTCTCTTAACCACTAGGCCTTGGGGCTAGCCCAGGAACTTTTTTTCCTTTCTTATTAAGTATCCAATGACTTTAACCAGACCTTAAACTTGAATGGTCTCACATTGGAAATGTGAGAAATTGCAAATCATATTTTATCTGCTTACTACTTTCATGAAATAATCAGTACTGGTTACTGTTGCATTTAATAAAATGAAGTCCCATCCTATGGAGGAAGGACACTAGGTGCATTTGCCATTTGAACCTCACACAAAGGTACCAAAGTAAAGGACCATCGAGGTGGGGGTGCCAGCCAGCCAGTCCAGGCACAAGAGAGGCCTTTTCTCACTCACCTGAAGGTACTCTGAGCTAGTGGTGGCCTTGGCAAGGACTGAAGCTTCTCTGTATTAATTCTGATCAATGTGTCAGTATTTTTAAGGTTTTCTTCTCACTTTTCAGATCTTAGCTTAATGGGCATTTACTTGGTCCAGGTCCCTATACTTTACACTTCCAGAAAGTCTGTGATTCCACTTAAATATAGCCATCATATTTGTAACTATTTATTTAATGTCTCCCTTTTCCATTATGTAGAAACTTCATGAGTGTAGAGACCATGTCTGTCTTCTTCACAGCTCTTATCTATAGTCTCAAGCCTATGGATGGCCAAAAGCAATTTCGCTGTGGGTATTTATTGCATTAATAGATTCCTAACGAGACCTG